CTTTTTAATTTCTTCTTTGCCTCATTGGTTGTCCTGGAACATATTTAATCTCCACCTATTTGTAGATTTTCCAGCTTTCCTCCTATTATTGATTTCTAGTTTCATGCCATAGTTGTCAGAAAAGATACCTGGTATGATTTTGTTTTCTTAAATTTGCTAAGAATCTTTTTGTGGTGTCTCATAGGGTCTCTCCTGGAGAGTTTACTGTGTGTCCTTGAGACGACTGTGTATTCTGATGCTGTTGGAGGAAGTGTTCTATAAATAGCTGTTTTCTTTGTTCTCCTCTGAGTGTGTTATTTCAAAGTCTTATCCTCTAACTTACTACTTCTATATTCTGTTTGGTATTCTGTTTGTGATCTTCTCTATAGTATTTTTCATTTCATTCACTAAATTCTTCAGCTCCAAAATTTCTATTGGTCCTTTTAATGATTTCCATTTCTTTGTTCAACTTCTCATTTTGTTCATACATTGTTTTCCTGATGTACTGAATTGTCTTTCTGTGTTTTCTTAGCTCATTGAATTTTCTCAAAACATCTATTTTGAATTCTTTATCAGCTGCTTCACAAAATTTCGTGCCTTGGAGATGTTACTGAAGAATATCCTTATCTTTTGGTGATGACATGTTTCCTTGAATCTTCAAGGAATCATTGGGCTCATCAGAAAGAGATAAAAAACAAAAGCCCAAAAATAACAAAGAAAAGATGTTATGCAAGAGAGGTGCAAAAGGGGCTTGCCTCATCTCATGTTGGACCACATGAAATCCAAATAAATATGGTCAAAATAAATAAGGAATAGGCATAGGAAAAAAATATTCTGTTTCACATAATAAACATTCAACTGAGGCCAGCTTGATGGTGTAGTGGTTGAGTTTGGCACATTCTTCTTTGGTAGCCCGAGTTCATGGATTCAGATCCCAGGTGCAGACCTACACCATTTATCAGCCATGCTGTGATAGCAACCCACATATAAAAAGTGGAGGAGGATTGGCACAGTTTTTAGCTCAGTGCTAATCTTCCTGAAGCAAAAAAAAGAGGGAGATTGGCAACAGATGTTAGCTCAGGGATAGTGTTCCTCAGCAAAAACAACAAAAACAAAAAACAGGAAAAAAAACCCTCAACTTTTGTTATACTTTGCATGGTTCCTTTTGTGAATTGTTGGTTTTAGTTTATTTCTTTTGCTCATTTTTCTCTTCATGTGTTCAATCTATAAGGTGTTAACACCATAAAAATGTCACTGCTTATCTCTTTTGGATAAATTTATCTATCTATTCAATTCGTTTTACTGCAGTAAAATACATATGAAATAAAATATACCGTCAAGTGTACAGTTCACTGATATTAAATACTTTCATAATGTTTGGTACCCATCACCACCATCCACCTTTAAAACTTTTCTCATTTTGTAAAACTGAAACTCTATACCCATTAAACAATAACTCTCCATTTTCACCTCTCCTCAACTTACGGCACCCACCATTTTACTTTCTAACTCCATGATTTTGACTACTCTAAGCAACTCATATAAGAGGAATAATACAGTATTTGTCCTTTTGTGACTGGCTAATTTCTCTTAGCATAATGTCCTAAAAGTTCATCCACATTGTAGCACAGGTCAGAATGTCCTTCCTTTTTAAGCCTGAATAATATTCCATTGTATGTAGATACCACATTTTGCTTATCCATTCATCTGTCAATGGACACTTGGGTTGCTTCCATGTTTTAGCTATCATGAATAATGCTGTTATGAACATGGATGTACAAATATCTGTTCAAGGCCCTGCTTTCAATACTTTTGGATATATATCCAGAAATGAATTTGGTGGATCATACAGTAATTGTACTTTTAATTTTTTGAGGAACCAGCATATTGTTTTCCACAATGATAGTACCATTTTTCATTCCTACCAAGAGTGTACAAGGATTCCATTTTCTCTGCATTCTCACCAACACTTGTTTTCTGTTCTTTTGATAGTAGTCATCCTAACAGGTATGAGGTGGTTTCTCATTGTAGTTTCAATTTGCATTTTCCTAATGATTAGTGATGTTGAGCACTTTTTCAAGTGCTTTTTGGCTATTTGTATACCTACTTAGGAAAAATGTCTATTCAAGTTATTTCCCATTTTTAGATTGCGTTGTTTTGTGTTTTTTTCTCTTTTTTTAAGTTTTATGAGTTCTCTACATATTCTGGATTTTAATCCCTGATCAGATATATGATTTACAAACATTTTTCCCATGCCATGTGTTGTCTTTTTATCATGTTAATAGTGTCATTTTTTGCATAATTTCTTTTTAGTTTTCATGAAGTCTAACATGCCTTTTTTTCTTTTGCTACCTCTGCCCTTGGTGTCATATCCATGCAATCATTGACAAATCAAATGTCCTGAAGTTTTTGCCCCATGGTTTCTTCTAAGATTTTCATAATTTTAGGTCTTACATTTAGATTTTCACTCCATTTGGAGTTAGTATTGTATATTGTGTTAGGCAAGTGTCCAATTTTATTCTTCTGTATGTGGATATCCAGTTTTCCCAGCACCATTTGTTGAAAAGTCTGTCCTCTCCCTATTGAATGATCTAGGCACTCATGTCAATAATCACTTGACCATATATGTGGGGGGTTATTTCTGGGCTCTCTATTCTAGTCCATTGGCTTATAAACTGTCTTTATGCCAGTATCACACTGTTTTGATCAGTGTAGCCCTGCAGTAAGTTTTGAAATCAAGAAATGTGAGTCTCCAGTGTTGTTCTTCATCTTCAAGGTTATTTTGGCTCTTTGGGGTTTGTTTAGGTTCCATGTGAATTGTAGGATAGATTTTTCCATTTCAGCAAAAAACATCATTGGGATTTCAACAGGCATTGGATTGAATCTTTAGATTGCTTTGGGCAGTATTGACGTTTCAACAATATTGTCTTCCAATTCATGAACATGATATGTGTTTCCATTTATTTATGCCTTCTTCAATTTCTTTCATCAATGTATTACAATTGTCATTGTTCAGGTCTTTCACATCCTTGCTTAAGTTAATTCCTAGTATTTTATTCTTTTGACTACCATTATAAATGAAACTGTTTCTATAATTTCCTTTTCAGATTGTTCATTGTTAGTATATAGTAATGCAACATTTTTTGTGTTTTGACTTTTTATCCTGTCACTTTGCTGAATTCATTTATTAGTTCTATTAGTATTTTTGTGGAATGTTTAGAATTTTCTACATATATCACATCATCTGCATAGAGACATAAATTTATTTCTTCCTTTCCAATTTCCATGCCTTTTCTTTCTTTCTTTCTTTCTTTCTTTCTTTCTTTCTTTCTTTCTTTCTTTCTTTCTTTTTGGTTAGTGATAGATATTGTTTAATGTGGGTTTACCAATATTTTTATTGCAGTAACATTGGTTTATAACATTATATGAATATCAAGTGTACATTATTATATTTTGATTTCTGTGTAAACTATACCATGTCCACCACCCAAAGACTAATTACCATCCATCATCATACACAGGTGCCCTGTCACCCCTTTTGACCTCTTCTCTCCCCTGTCCCACTGGTAACCATCGATCTAATCTCTGTATCTATGTATTTGTTTGTTATTGTTGTTTTCATTTTCCACTTATGAGTGAAATCATACGCATTTGATTTTGTTGATCTGAATTATTTCATTTAGCATAATACAGTCAAAGACCATCCACGTTTTCACAAATGGCAATATTTCATCTTTTTCATGATTAAGTAGTGTTCCTTTGTGTATATAAACCACATCTTCTATATCCATTCATCCACAGAGGGGCACTTAGGTTGTTTTCAAATCATGGCTATTGTGAATAATGCTGCAATGAACATAAGGTGCAAACATCTTTTTGCATTCATGTTTTCATGTTCTTTTAATAGATAATCATGTGGTTTCTATTCTTAATTTTTTGAGTAATTGCCATGCTGTTTTCCATAGTGACTGCACCAGTTTACATTCCCACCAGCAGTGTATGAGAGTTCCTTTTTCTCCACATCTTTTCCAATGCTTATCATTTCTTGTCTTGTTTATTGTTGCCATTCTGATGGGCATGAGGTAATATCTTATTGTAGTTTTGATTTGCATCTCCTTGATAATTAGTGATGGTGAACATCTTTGCATGTACCTGCTGGCCTTCTTCTTTTTCTTTCCTTAACTTCTCTGGACAGAACTTCCAGTATTATTTTGAATAAAAGTTCCAAAAGTGGACATCCTTGTCAAGTTTCTGAACTTACAAAAAAATATTCAGTGTTTCCCCATTGAGTACAGTTGGCCCTCAGTGTCTGTAGGTTCTGCATTTGTGGATTCAAACAACCACAGATTGGAAGGTCTATGATAGTTGATAGTTGCATCTGTCCTGAACATGTACAGATTTTTTTCTCTTCATAAATCCCTAAACAATACAGTATAACAATATTTGCATTGTATTATGTACACAAGTAAGCTAAAGATGATTTAAAGTATATAGGAGGATGTGATTAGATTATATGCAAAGACAATGCTATTTTATGTATGGGACTTGAACATCTGTGGGTTTTGGTATCCACATTGGTCAACCAATTTCCCATGAATACCAAGGGATGACTGCATAACGTTCACTGTGGGTTTTTCATGAACAGCTTTTAGTATGTTGAGGTAGTTTCCTTCTATCTCTAGCTTTTTAGTGTTCTTATCATATTTCATACAGAAATATAAACATTAATTTCTTCACTGTCAGATATAGATAATAGCTTATCTGCCACTTTAGTAATGCTTGATTGTGTCATGTTTGCTTTCTCTTGTTTTAGTAGTCACATCAATTACATGGAACGAGGAAATGATCCACAAAATTCAGAGATTCTTCTGAGATTTTCAGAGGAAAAAGAATTGCAACCTTTACTCTTAGGACTGTTCTTGCTCATGTACCTCATCAGCATACTCAGGAACCTGCTCATCATCCTGGCCATCAGCTATGACTCTCATCTCTACACCCTCCCATGTGCTTCTTCCTCTCCAACCTGTCCAATGTAGAACCTGGTTCACCTCCACCACTACTCCAAAGGTGCTGGTGAGTATACAGACACAGAGAAAAGTCATAACTTAGAAATCTGTATCATGCAGACGTACTTTTTCATACTCTTTGTAGGGTTGGACAGTTTCTTCCTGATTGTGATAGCCTACAACTGGTTTCTGGCCATTTGCCATCCCCTGCACTATATGGTCATTGTGAACCTTCAGTTCTGTGGACTGCTGGTTCTGGTAACATGGAATATCAGTGTCCTGCATTCCATGTTACACAGCTTGATGGCGTTACAACTGCCCTTCTGCAGAGACTTGAAAATTCTCCACTTATTTTGTGAACTTAACCAGGTGGTCCAACTTGCCTGTTCTGACATCATTCTTAATGACATGGTGATGTATTTTGCAACAGTCCTGTTGGGTGGTGTTTCCCAGGCTGGTGTCCTTTGCTCTGACTCTAAGATAATTTTTTCCATATGTGGAATCTCATCAGCTCAGCGGAAGTATAGAACATTTTCTGCATGTGCATCTCACCTCTCAGTTGTCTCCTCATTTTATTGTGCAAGCCTAGATGTTCACCTCAGCTCTGCTGCTACCCACAGCTCACAGTCAAGTGCCACAGCCTCAGTGATGTAGACCATGGTCACCCCCACGCTGAAGCCATTCATCTATAGTCCGAGGAACAAAGACATAAAGGGAGCTTTGAATGTGCTCTTCAGGGTAAAGCCATAAAGGGCCATTTTTCAAGAAATGCCTGTGATTCTAGGGCTCTATGCCTAACAGCCAGAAATTGTGATTCTTTAATCAGATCACGAAAGAAATTAAACCTATTCATATGCTGGAATTTTAATGTTTTAAATTTTAACCACTTCACTGAATTTAAATAACTCACTTTATCAACCTTTCTTCTACCTCCAATATCCAACAATTTTTCTGTTTGTTGTTTTCCTAATTTCTCAAGATCCCAATCTTGGATCAGAAACAATTTGGAGATTCTCATTTGCTTCTTACAGTGATGAGTTGTACTTGTTTTATGGGATAAATTAATTTTCACAACTTAGGCTATTTATATAATTGTGTTGTATAGGAAATTCTGAGACCACAGTTTTTTTCACTTTTATGTCTATCGTTCTTTTCTATATCACTACCTTGACTGAACTTCCTGATAATGTAGACATTAACATATAGTTTGTTTTGTAGCTGGTCGTGGGGTTTCATTATTTTCATTAAGATCCTGTTCTCTTATCAGCTCAGCATCCACAGTATCCCTGGCGCAGAATTGTGAGGCAAAAATTGCTTATCAAAAACATGCTCTAGGGAGATGTCATCACGATGGTGGTGTGAAAGGATCCCTTTGTCTCTCCCCTTCAATCTACAGTGAGTAAAACATCCAGAGTCAAAAAAAATGTTACATTGTCCAACACGTCAGGATGCCAGAGATCCATACACAGATACATGTGAAGGCGGCTTGACTGGAGCACACAGAGGAGGATAAATGGTGGGACAGCAGAGGTGGTGCCCAGGATCCTGGGTTTTTGCCACAGTGGGTGAGCCAGCCACCCTCAGGCCCAGAGAACACAGTGGACAGTAGAAAAGATGCACAAGTGACTCAACCCTCTTGGTTGCACTGGTGCCTATGGCCACAGGGAGCACAGCAGCAAGGAAGAACCTCACAATCCTGGGCCCCCAACTGCAGCCCAGAGCCTGGTAGCAGCAATGGAGGCAGGCATACAAATCTGTCCTCCCAACGGTGGTATCACCTGCAGCCACAAGGAAAAAGGCAATATTGGAGGTGGAGTCCCATGGTCCAAGCTCCCTCCCCACAATTTCCTTTTCCCTGCAATGGAAACAGTGCTTCTGATGCAGAGGATCTTGGATTGAGAAAGGCAATATTCATGTCTGCAGCCTTGGCACTGAAGACAACAGCTACAGTGACAGAGGCAACAGCAAGGCATCCATGATCCCCAAAGGTGCAGCCTGTGAAGATGACAGTACTAGCAACATCCTTAATAGAGGCAATGGAGAGCGGAAAATGCTGATCTTTAAAACTATCCAGAGGAAATACAGGTAAGAGAAACCAAAACCAGTGCTATCAAGCCACCTGGTGAAAAGAAAGAGAAAGAGCTGTATTCTCCAAATGTTTGAAGAGTTAGAATTTAAATAAAAAAAAAAGTCTTACCTAAATAAGAAAAGTGTTTGCTACAGCAAATGTGCTGGCAGAGGAATAATTCATTAGGTGCCACAATAAGCCATGGTACCACAGAATCACAAAAATAAAATAAAAATCTTCCACAAACCAAACACAAATTCATGGAAGAGTGTGAACTAACTGATGAAGAATTCAAACTATGTCATGAAGAATCTCAAAATCTGGGGCCTGGCCCAGTGGGGCAGCAGTTAAGTTCACATGTTACGCTTTCTGGCAGCCTGGGGTTTGCTGGTTTGGATCCTGGGTGCAGACATGGCACCACTTGGCAAAAGCCATGCGGTGGTAGGCATACCACGTATAAAGTAGAGGAAGATGGGCATGGGTGTTAGTTCAGGGCCAGTCTTCCTCACCAAAAAGAGGAGGATTGGCAGTAGTTAGCTCTGGGCTAATCTTCCTCCAAAGAGAAAAAAGAATCTCAATATGCTATGACAAAACTCAAAAGCAGTTCATTAAGTTCAAGAATAAAATTAATGAACAAAAGAAATACTTTACTAAAGAGATTGAAGCAGAAAGAGCTAAATAGAAATTATGGAGCTGAAGAAGTCAATAAATGAGAGGAAGAATGCATTAGAAAAAATTAAAAATAGAGCAGATCATATGGAAGAGAGAATTAGTGACCTCAAAGATGGAAATCCAGAGGTAATGCAGGTAGAAGAGGAGAGAGAACTAAGATTTTAAAATAACATAGAAATTCTATGAGAATTATCTGACTCAATTAGAAAAGGCAACATAAGGATAAGGGGGATTCCAGAAGGAGAAGAGAGAGAGAAGGGACAGAGAGTGTATTAAAAAATATAACAGCTGAGAACTTCTCCTATATTGGGAAGGAACTAGATATACAAATCCATGAAGTTAAAAGAATACTAAATTATCCCAATGCAGAAAGGCTTTCTCCAGGACATGTTATATTAAAATTGTCAAAGGTAAATGATTAAAAAAAAAGACTGTTAAAGGCATCCAGGTGGAAAAAAAACCCATAACACACAAGGGAACTCCCATTAGGCTATCAGCAGACATCTCAGAAGAAACTCTACAGGCCAGGAGAGAGTGGAATGATATATTCACAATACTGAAAGATAAAAACTTTCAGCCAAGAATGCTCTATGCAGTAAAGTTATCCTTCATATATGAAGGAGAAACAAAGGCTTTCCTAGAAGAACAAAAGCTGAGGGAGTTCATCACCACTAGACCTGTCTTACAAGAAATCATGAAAAGAGCTCTCCCACCTGAAACAAAAAAAGCAAAGGTATATGAAACTTTGAGCAAGATGATAAACAAAATCATAAAATTTCAACTCTGTGTCAGAATGGATTAGTAAACACTTAATTATAACATAAAGACTAAAGAAAAAAGGAAGCATTAAATACAACTATAATCTCTTTAATTTCATAATTAACTCACAATATAAAAATGGATAACAGGGGCCGGCCTGGTGGTACAGCAGTTAAGTGTGCACATTCCGCTTCTCAGTGGCTCAGGGTTCACCAGTTCGTATCCTGGGTGCGGACATGGCACTGTTTGGCAAGCCATGCTGTGATAGGTGTCCCACATATAAAGTAGATGAAGATGGGCATGGATGTTGGCTCAGGGCCAGTCTTCCTCAGCAAAAATAGAGGAGGATTGGCAGTAGTTATCTCAGGGCTAATCTTCCTCAAAAAAAAAAAAACACGCATAATTTGTGTCAACAAAAACAAAGAAAAGGAAGAGGCAAAGGACAGAACCTGCATAGGCAAATGAAGATGAGATGCTATCAGCAAAAAAAGGGCTATCTTATCTGTGAGAGCTTTTATACAAACCTCATGGTAACCACAAAATAAAAATTCAGAGCAGAGGCACAAAACGTGAAAAAAGAGACAACTGAGAAACACATCACAGAAAACCAGAAAACTGAAATAGAAGACAGAAACACAAGGAAAAGCAAACAATGGAAATACAGAGCAACCAGAAAACAAGATAAAATGGCAGCATTATGTCCTAATATATCAATAATCATTCTAAATATGACATGGAGTGACTGGATGGATTGAAAAACAAGAGCCAACATATGCTGCCTCCAGCAGAAACATCTCAGCTCTAAAGAAAAACATAGGCTTAAAGTAAGGGATGGAAGATGATACTCCAAGCAAATGGCAGACAAAAGAAAGCAGTGCTGTCCTAGTTATATCTGACAAAAATGATGTCAAGCCAAAAAAGATGAGAAGAGACAAAGATGGGCATTAAATAGTGACAAAAGAGAAAATCCACCAAGAAGACATAACATTTATTAATACATATGCACCTAACATAGGATCACCAAATTATATAAAGCAACTATTAACAGACCTACAGGGACAAATTGACAGCAACACAATGATACTAAGGGAATTTAACATCCCACTTACATCAATAGATAGATCATCTAGAAGAAGCATCACCAAGAAGACACTGGCCTTAAATGAAACATTAGACCAGGTGGACTTGATAGATATATAGATCATTCCATCCAAAAACAGCAGAATACACATTTTTGTCAAGTGCACATGAAACATTCTCAAAGACATACCACATGTTGAGAAGCAAAACAAGTCTCAACAAATTTAAGAAGATTGAAATCATATCAAGCATCTTTCCAACAACGATAGAATGAAACTACAAATCAACTACATTTGTGAAAAAGTCACAAATATTTGGAGACTAAACGATGTGCTACTGATCAACTACTAGATCAATAAATAAATCAAAGGACAAATAAAAAAATACCTGAAGGCAAATGAAAATTAAAATATTTGATACCAAAATCTATAAGATGCAGCAAAAGAAGTACTAAGAGGGAAGTTCATAGCAGTACAGCCCTACCTCAACAAACAAGAAAAATCTCAAATAAACATTACACCTAAAAGAACTAGACAAAGAAGAACAAAGAAAGCCCTAAGTCAGTAGGATAAAGGAAATATTAAAAGTCAGACTGCTAATAAATGAAATAGACTAAGAAGAAAATACAAAACATCAATGAAACTAAGAGCTGGTTTTCTGAAAAGATAAGCAAAATTGACAAACCATTGACTAGATTAACTAAGAGAAAAAGAGAGCAAGCTCAAGTAAATGTAGTCAGAACTCAAAGAGGAGAAATTATGATGGATACCAGAGAAATATGAAAGATTATAAGAGAATACCATGAAAAGCTATATATCAACAAATTGCATAACCTAGAGGAAATGGATACATTCTTAGAATCATACAACCTCCCAAAACTGAATCAAGAAGAAACAGGGAGTCTGAAAAAAATTGATCACTAGTAAGAAGATTGAAACAATAATCAAAAACCTTAAAACAAAAGGCCAAGACCAGATAGCTTCTCTGATGAACTCTACTAAACACTCAAAGAAGACTTAAAACCTATCCTTCTCAAACTATTCAAAAAAATTGAAGAAGATGGGTCTCTTCATAA